AAAAGCAAGATTAATCGTTCCTTTGCACCATCACCACTCAAAGCATAAACATAATGACCACCAACCACCACAGCAGAAAGCAGCAGAAAGAAGGCATGATGTTTATTAATTGATAAGTTCCATAACTTAGCTATAAGATTATTAATGTCCCTTTCTCAATTTAGTTATGTGATTATCAATGCTCCTTTCCTAAATGTCTCCCTTTCCCCGATCCACACACCCCTCCTTTTTCTAACATTTAAAAATCCTTTCCTTTTCTGTTCAAGGAGGCAGTTTTCTTGTTGGACTGAATCCACTGTCTCCTTAAACACTGATATTCAGTAAAACTCTCGCTTCTGTAGTCATTTTGCCCCACCCTCCGTGTGGTAGTTAAATCTGGTGTCAACTTGAAACTATTAAGATTGAAGGCGTGGAGTTCAGCCTGTCAATCAGGTCACAGCTCGATGACCTCATTTGGAGGCGCTACAGAGATAAATAACTCACTGGAGGTCAGACGCCAATGCTCTGCTTTGTCTTCCTGCTGACAAGACACATAGAGAAACACTCAGAGCCCTGGATCTGGAGGAGCCATGTGGAGACCCATGCCAGTGCTGAGATGCTTGCACTGACACTGGATCCACAAGACTTTCAACCCACTGACCTGTGATATTCCTGCATTCAACATCATTGCATGTGTCGCGTGAGTCTGAAGAGGAATTTACAGACTGGTATTGACCTATGGGCTAATATCAAACTTATGCACTTGATCTGGACTGGGCTGGGATGTTTTGTTAATATATAATTGCTCTTTGATATAAACCTTTCTTAAACACATATGATTGCCCCTTGATTTTTTTTCTCTAGTCAACCCAGACTAACACACTCCCCTACTATGCCTCTAGGTAATAATCCAGTTATAATCTCTATTGATTTACCTATCCAGGATTTCATCTACAGCTAATCATCAAAACACAAACAAGAAGCAAACAATAAGAAAATGTTTTGAAGTTGTGGTGATGATTGCCCAACTCTTAATGTGACTGAATGAAATGTGACATGTATGCCAATAAAACAATAAATAAATAGACAAATAAATAAATAAATGGAGGCAGGGCTCTTACTCTCCCTCCTGTACCTGTCTTGTGAAATGCATTGCTCAAGGCAGGCAGCCCTGCATGATCTCTAGGAGGAGAGGCTGAACAAAAGCATCAAGGATAGAGAATTACTGCCTGGCCTGATGCAGTACAGCCACACTGAACTTTCATAGGCAGCATTTATTCGAGACAGCGGCTTACCATACCAGTAGCTGGTAATGAAAAATACGGGATAATTCCTTGTTCCCCACACCTCACTGGTGACTAGAAGCATGGCCAGCCCCGACCCTCAACCACCCAGGGGCAAGTGTCACCCCACACAGCCCTTGCTCTGCCTGAGGATGAAGTTGAGTCTCCATGGATCAAGGACCATGGGTATCACTCCCATAACTGGAACTAAATCTCATTAGACCAGTAGACCATGCAGGGTCAGGTTCCTGGCCAGCCCTGGAGAGCTGAGAACTTCTTCCACAACCAGTGGTCCTGCTCCCAGTTGTCCTTTGGGCCCAAAAGAGTGCCTTCCAGGAACAAGCATCCTGATCTCAGGTCTCATCGGAGCCGGTACAAACTACCTCCACATCAGGTGCCCTAACTCCAGACAACACTGAGGCTGGCAGGAACACCATCTAGAACTGAGCATCTCACCCACTGCCTGGCAGAGGGTGTCATCCTGGGTGCCCTGTCCTCCTACAATGTTGCCTTTCTTTGAGGGTTTGTTGTTGTTCCTTTTCTTTCCCTCCCTTGTTTCTTATCCCTTATCTGTGTTTCCTTGTCTTTCTCCTTACTGCTTCTCTTTCCCCTTCCCTTCTTTCTTTTTCCTATTACTTTTCTTTGTTTCTTTACTGTTCTCTCTCTCTTTTCTTCCTCCCTCCCTAGTTTGGCTTAATCCGTTTTCCTTCCTTTTCTTCCATTTTCTCTCTTTCCCCTTCTTCCTAGATTCTTTTCCTCTTTTTTATGGCTAATTATTCTTTTCTTTCTTACTGTTCACCTGCTTTCTTGTAGTGTCCCCCCCCATATTATTTTATTTCCACCCCCCCTCTTTGTTCTTTTGGTTTCACTCGACAGGAGACAACAGCCATGCTGGCATCACCTAGCTGTGTCTGTACCACCTATTAAACGAGGACTGTTACCCGTTCCTGAGCTGCCTGAGCATCTACAGGCCGTGGGCAATACCAACCAAATACAACCACAACTGTGCTACAAGAACAGAGAACTGTGCACGTATTCACATTCTCCATCACATCCACCAGGAGACAGTTGGTGACTGCCTTAGTGCACACCAGCATATAACCATCAATCAAGTACAAATTCAACAACATTACGACGTGTTAAAAACCAGTCAGTTCACACTAAAATTAAGAAAAAGACAAAAGTGGTTCAAACAATCATTGTGAATGAGGGGGAGTACAGATTGGGGACCCAAGACCGATCTTTAGGCAACTGGACATCCCCTTACAGAAGGGTCACAGGGAGGAGACAAGCCAGTCAGAGTGCAGCGTAGCAACGATGAAACATACAACTTTCCTTTAGTTCCTAAATGCTTCCTCTCTGTGCCCCTCCTCCCCATCATGATCCCAATTCTACCTTACAAATCCGGCTAGGCCAGAGAATGTACACTGGTACAGATAGGAACTGGAAACAGGGAATCCAGATAGATGATCCCTTCGGGACCAGTGCTGAGAGTGGTGATACCAGGAGGGCAGAGGGAGGGTGGGGTAGAAAGGAGGAACCAATTACAAGGATCTAAATATAAACTCCTCCCTGGGGAATGGACAACAGAAAAGTGGGTGAAGGGAGACATCGGACAG